ACTTCGACGAACTGAAAGCCGAGTTCCCGAGGGTCTTCGATACGAAGTCGACCCTGCGGAAGATGACGGGGGAGCCGATGAAGATGGAGCTGACGGACGACGCCGTCCCTCACGCTGTGACCACCGCCCGGAATATCCCGTTCTGTTGGTGAGAGGACGTGCGACTGCAGCTCGACGAGCTGATGGAAAAGGACATCATCGAGCCGGTGGAGCACCCCACCGACTGGTGTCATCCGATTGTTCCGGTGGCCAAACGGTCGTCAGACGGCACAGTGTCCGGCTGCCGGCTGACCGTGGACTTCACTAAGCTAAACCGGTTCGTGAAGCGACCGACGTACCCGGTCCGCTCGCCTCAAGACGCAGTCACCTCCGTCTCACCTGGCGCTGCGTACTTCACCAAGCTGGACAGCAAGGCGGGGTACCACCAGGTCCCGATCCGGCCCGAAGACAGAGACCTGACGTGTTTTATCACGCCGTGGGGCCGCTACCGGTACCTGAGGGCTCCAATGAGAATCGTCAGCTCTGGCGACGTGTACAACCAGCGGGGTGACGCCGCGCTCGGCGACATCCCGCGCACGTGTAAGGTCGTGGACGACGTCCTGGCCTATGATGCTGACTACGCCGCCCACCTGCAGCACGTGCGGCAGATCCTGAAGAGATGTGACCAGCACGGTATCACACTCAACCCGGACAAGTGTCAGTTCGCGGAAGATGAAGTGGAATTCTGCGGCTTCCGCATCAATTCAGCTGGCTATACCGCCGACGGCAAAAAAGTTTGTGCCATCCAGGCCTTCCCCAGGCCCGGCAACATCACCGACCTACGGTCGTTCCTCGGCCTGGTGACCCAGCTCGGCGCCTTCTCCCCAGAGGTCGCCGCCGCCGCCGAGCCGCTGAGACAGCTGCTGCGGCCGCGGAACGCGTGGCTGTGGACGCCAGCGCACGAGCAGGCGTTCAGCGCGGTGAAGATGGCACTCACGTCGCCTCCCGTGCTCGACTTCTTCGACCCTCGCCGCCGCACAGTCCTCGAGACTGACGCCGCTCGCTCCGGCGGCCTGGGCTACTGCCTGCTGCAGCAAGATGCCGCCGGCCGGTGGCGACTGATCCAGTGCGGCTCACGCTTCCTATCGGACGCCGAGTCGCGGTACGCCGTGATCGAGCTGGAGCTGCTGGCCCTGGCCTGGGCCTGCAAGAAATGCAGCATCTATCTCAGCGGGATGCAGCGGTTTGAAGTCCTGACCGATCACCGGCCTCTCATCCCCATCCTCAACAGTAAGAGCCTCGCGGAGATCGAAAATCCGCGGCTCCAGCGGCTACGTGAGCGGCTGGCGCCGTTCAACCTGCTTGCCACCTGGCGGCAAGGCAAGCTGCACGCCATCCCGGACGCGCTGTCGCGCGCGCCGGTGGATGACCCGGCGCCTGAGGACGAGGAAGCCGAGAGGGACGCCAGCCATCAACTCGCCAGCGTGCTCTCACGGCTGGCCACCGACGGGGCGGACGACGGTCCCAGCCCGTTCAAAGACGCGGCGCTCACAGAGGTGCGCGCCGCCGCCGCCGCCGATCCGGAGCTCATCGCACTCACCGATCTGATCCTGAACGGGTTTCCAGAGCACCGGTCACAGCTGGACCCGCGCCTCCGACCGTACTGGGGAGTTCGGGACCGGCTGGCCGTGGACGACGGCCTAGTGGTGTGCGGCCAGCGGCTCGTGATACCGCCCAGTCTGCGGCGCGCCACGCTCGAGCGCCTGCACGCCATTCACCAGGGCGTCGAGCGCACCAAACGCCGCGCGCGGCAGGTAGTCTACTGGCCGTTCCTGGACAGTGACATTGCGAACCATGTCGGTGCGTGCCCGGCCTGCCAGCGGTACCTGCCCAGTCAGCAGAAGGAGCCGCTGATGCCGGAAAAGACGCCGTCACGTGTGTTTGAGGCTGTCTCCGCCGACTGCTTCGCCTGGGCCGGCCGCACGTTCCTGGTGTACGCGGACCGGCTGTCCGGGTGGCCGTTTGTGTCGCACGTGGCCGGCGAGGCGACTGCCAGAGACCTGGTCTGCAGCCTGCGCCAGATGTTCGCGGCCACCGGCGTGCCCACCACCCTCCGGACAGACGGTGGACCCCAGTTCACCGCCCGGCTCACCCGAGAGTTTCTGCGCCGCTAGGGAGTGGAGCACCAGATCTCCACACCGCACTACCCGCAATCAAACGGACACGCTGAGGCGGCGGTCAAGGCCGCCAAACGGCTCATCCAGAAGGCGACCAGCAGCGGTGAGCTCGACACGGACGCCTACGCGCAGGGGCTGCTGGAACTGCGCAACACGCCGCGCGCCGACGGCCGCTCTCCGGCTCAGGTCCTGTTCGGCCACCCGCTGAGATCGGCAGTGCCGGCGCACCACCGGGCCTTCGCCGACTGCTGGCAGCGGGCGGCGGACGACTGTGACGCCAGAGCCGCGGCGCAGCAACAGAAAACAGCCGAGCGGTACGACGCGACAGCCCGACAGCACAGCGCGCTCACCATGGGTCAGCGCGTGCTCGTCCAAGACCCGCGGTCGGGGCTGTGGGACCGCGTCGGCGTCATCACGGCAGTCGGACAGCGGCGCGACTACCTGGTCCAACTGCCCAGTGGCCGAGTCTACTGGCGGAACCGGCGCTATCTGCGACCCCAGAGATCTCTCATCTCGGAGGGCGCCGCCACACTTGCACCCGGGCGCCGGCAGCAGCCCGCTCCGAGCTCGGCACCCGACGGCACGGAGGAGACCGCCGCCGCTGCGCCGGCGGGCGGACAGCCGGCACCACCGGTGCTGCGGAACAGCGCCGACGACCCCAGCTCAGTGCGCCGTGGGACGCGCCGCCGTCGCCGTCCGGCCCGACTGACCGTGCGCTGGGCGGACCAGACGTACGACTGAGTTCGTGCGTCCACACCGTGTGTGGTGTACATTTTTGTTTATGTGTTAGACGCAATGCGTATTTTGTACCGACGCATGCGTCTTGAGGGGGGGGTGTTGTGATGGGGCACGTTTTCCCTTCCCTTCATTTGGTATCACCCCCCGGTCATATGGAAGCACAGAAACAATAAACAGTTCCATGGTCGCCGCCATTGTGTTTCGAGGGTAAACGGCCGCTCCCGATAAATTGCCGCGAGAGTGCTAAACTAACCACCGGAATCGACCATAACAGGGACTAGAGGAACGACAGCTCTGCGCTGTAGCGTCTGGATACGTCCGTGGAGTGCTGGTGCACGCGGCCGCCACCTGGCTCCTGGTGACGCCACAATCCCACGTGGAACTTCTCCAGAGGGAGATGCAGGCGGTTACCCGTATATCACCGGCTGCCCCTTGTTTACCCCAGCCCACGCAGTGATGGCGGAGACCGGACTGATGCCGGTGCCCGCTGGCCGCCCGGCGAGACGTGCTGGTAGCGAAGCTCTTCGCCAAGGCGCACGCGCTCCCCGAGGGCAAGCCCTCAGGACTATCGCGGAAGATGGGCCGCCCAGCCGACTGAAGTCGGTGACGGGCTGGCGTGGGGTGGGGCACGAAACCTGGCGAGCGGCTGGGATCGCCCTGCTGCTCGACCCCCTGGTTGCATGCCAGCGCGCCGCCGTGGGAGGTGGCCGCCTTCCCAGACTTCACCTTCAGGCTGGACATCGGGACACTGCAGCGCGACGCCTCGGCTGATGAACTACACCTGGCGGGACAGCGACACTTGGCCACCCTCCCCAGTAAGCCATCAGGGTATGATCTGACGCATCGGCGGAAGCGGGAGTCCGCAGCGGAGAAGCCTTCGTGGAGTGTACACGGGTGTGGGAAATGAATGCTAAGTGTATCCAAATTGAAGGCACTGCTCTCGAATGATATAAATACTGAACAGCTTTGGATTGTTTGTATTCCAAATGTTTACTTTCAGGACGAGTACTCCTTATCATTCGGTCGTCAACTCCTCTCTCCGACGCCGGCTTAGCGCAGGCACGTATAACCTAAAATTTGGCCGGGGGGGGGGAGCGGAGGAATCCCGTAGAGAGAGCCTCCTACCTACAGAGGGCCCTCTACCCGAGGAGTCAGAGGTGGTCAGACACAGACACTAGCGGCTATTCACAGGAGGCCCCATGTAGTAAATTGAATGACCCTAGGTGGCAGGCGAGTCGGAGAGCCTTGATTGTCCTGACGTGATTTTTTGGGGATTCCCATGAATTTCGTTCGTCTCCGACGTGATTTTGGCCAACGTGGGCCTTCTGCCAGCATGGGCCCTGAAAACCCCTAGGGGGGAGGCGCACCCCGTCCGTCCCCCCTTGGGTACGTCCCCGGTCGGTCCAGCGGCTCCACACGCGCCTACCGACACACAAGAAACTCTTGCCATTATGTTTGCTTCTGACGCAATCATGACAGAATTACGCTCTATTGATATGCATGCTGCCATTGCTTTGGAGTCGGTCTTTTGAATTTCTGCGTTTTTTTTTCGGATCGGCTCCACTCTCCAGACAGCTGGCTCAGCCTGATCGACCAGAGCGATGCGACACCTATACCAACTTGATACCAGCCTACTTGGCGGGGTGGTGAATTCATGAAATGCGAATGCGAAACATGGCAATAGATGGCGGAACGAACAGCATGGGGAAGGCTGGAGTGGGACACGCATTGAGAAATGAAATCCGTCACTTCCCAGATTTCGAACGCATCCTTAGAGTGCATTACTTTTATGTGCTTGCGTTCGGTCTTGGGATTTCTCAGCAGATGTCGCCAACAGCAGAGAGATTGATCTAGAATGTCTCGTTATCGGAAAAGTATGGTAGCTATACGCCAAATGGTTTTTGCGTATAGTTACCATATTACTTCCGATATGACTGTTGACATTACTGCGGATATGACCGAGCAGTGCATTGGCAATATGCCAAGGGCAGTAACATGCCGTCAGTCACGTCAGTCATCGGCCTTGGCTATCTGTAAGAATCTTGGCAGGAATCTTGGCTTTTTCTTGGACCCATAGCGTCGGCCTTCGACCAATCATATCGCCGAATTCCCAGGCAGTGAGAGACAAATACGGCGTGCCGAAGACATATTGGGTGTCTCAAAATCACTGAGAACTCTATAGCTCAAAATTTAAGCCCTGCACTTTTTTAGATCTACCCCGTTGAGTGGCATTTTTGTGAAAATTATGTAAATATATTTATCAGAATAAGGGAGAAGTGTAGGGGGCGGCGGGTGAGGTGCAGAAGAAGAATAAGAAGAAGTTGTACCTATCCAGTAATTTTATCTTGATTTGTGGATTAGAGGAAGACTAGATTTTGATAAAGAAATCGGCAAACTTGAACTGCAGGTAAGGTGTTGGTTTGTCATGCCGATTGTCTTGAAACCTGTTCCTTTTAAACCTGGGCTTCACCATTTACGCTCCATATGTGAATTAGCCTTGAGGCAAAATAATCCGGCAGGTGGCTATTTTCTGTTTGTAAAACTGGCCTCAGATGGAGTGCTATCATTTGATTAACCATCACATGATCAGGCAGCAACAAAGTTTGTGGTTTTAGAATCTTGAAAAATTTTCTTGGGAGTGGCACTTGGTAGACATCTGTTTGTGATTCTGCTAGAGCAATAGCGTCGTGCTCAAGCCAGCCAAATTTTAGACTGCCAATTCACAAGAAAAAATGCTTAGTTAATCAGATTTCAGGTATCAAAATATTAGGTAAGGCACCAATAGGCATTTAATTCAATTCTGGTGGTAAAAATCATGACCATATATTGGCATATCATCAATTTTTAATTTGTTGTGGCACACCTTGTTGTATATTGAGGCTTGAAGATGCTCAAGTAAATATTTTTGATGCGTGTGTTGATGAAGGCTAAAGTCCAATGAAAATAAAAAGCAGAAATTATCCTGACCTTCCCTTCCCTACTAACCTCCAACCTCCAACCTATCAGCCTACAAACCACTGTTCAGACTTCATCTACACGCAGGTTTAACATTTTATGATAAAGTAAAAAATGCTCAGCTTGTAATCCAATGCCTTTCAAAACCAATAGGCCTTTTTGGCCTTGCGAATGGTTAACGGAGAGAGAGAGTTACCTAACTCTATCATGTAAAAGCTGCTTTGAGAAAATAGCACTGTGTTTTATCCTGGCTTCATGACTCTCTAACGCTCTTTCAAACACATGGTTGTTTTCTGACAATTGGTGATACAGAGAGGGTCTGCATTAATGTCCAAGTATGGTCATTTAGGATCAATTTTTGGTGCCCTCGTTTTATATTATTCCAGCACTCCAGCAGCCTTACCCCGCGTTCGATGTCTCTCGGATGACGAAGATTCTACGTCGTCCAGCCAATCCCGTCCAAGGTCAGCGGGGGCTCGGCTGTGGTTATGAAACGTGATTGGCCGGACGGCGTAGAATCTTTGCCGTCCGGGAGACATCGAACGCGGGGTTAGTCTCCCCAACTGACATGCGCTGAATTTGTCGCATGTAACTTTACACCTGACGTGCGCCGAAATTTTAGGTGGAACCCTGCCACTACGCCAAATATAAGTTATGACATGATCACTGCTCAGTTGCGCAGGTTCACCAGAACAGCGTCATGGGTGCAAAATGACCACCGTAGCGCCCGTAAACCCTAATAAACAAAGAAGCAAACATCAGTTGCGCAGTTAATGCCAATTTTCACAATTTTGATTGTCCATTGATATTGTTTGGTCATTTCAGGACTCGTGGCGCTGCTCGCCTCCTCGCCAATGCGAACGCGTTCTCTGAGGACAACCCGCCCAAGGCTAGTATGGCGAAGCCACGCCACCGCGCCGGCTATAGACTCACGGCCTGAAGCGAGTTTGGGCGCGACGGCTGGCGAGCCAAGGCGGCGGAAAGTCGTCTGGCGGAGCTCCCGTCTGAGGCGAGCGAGCTTGATCTGGTCAGACATCTCCGCCACCGATGGTGTGCTAGATGGAGGAGGAGGGGCCATCCCCCCCCTGAACCGCGACATCCGGGAGGTGCGTGTCGCGGCAGGCGCCCTCTGCTCTAGCACGCGCGGCGAGCTATTCGCCCTAAGAGCGGTGTTGGAGGAGCTGTTGACCAAGACTGGTCGCGACACCTCTCTTCCGATAATTATCGTCTGTACCGACTCGATGGCGGCGCTGGCCCTCCTGCGGAGCGGCGCGGCGGCCCAGAGAGCCCCTCTGGCCGCAGACATATGGGGGCTGCTGGCAGCGCTCACCGAGGGGGCCAGCCAGTGATAATGCAGTGGGTTCCTGCACACTGCGGGCTTCCGGGCAACGAGCGGATGGACGCCCTCGCGCGAGGCTGGCGCCCTATCCCAACGGTAGCGCCGTCCGCCGATCGACTTGGGCAGCACTATCTGCAAGGCAGGCGCGCGCGACGCTGCGCGCGCCTGGCGGCGGAGCTGGCAGGACGGATGACCCTGGCTGCCGCCGTGAGAACCATCCAGAACCGTACGGCTATGCTGCGGCAGCGGCTGAAAGGAACGCAACAACAATAACTACAACAGCAGCTGCTAATGAAAGGGGAAATCATGGAGCCGGATGACCCGGCACATGGCGCTCAGCCAGCTGAGAATGAGAGCAGCTATCAAATCGCCAGCAGGGTGCTGCGGCTGGTAACTGACGACCTTGGTAGAGAGAGCGCCTCCGCTGATGCGGATGAAACTACCCCCTCTCGGGTTTGTTTGACGCCGTCTCCGTCGACTCTTTCGCCTGGGCCGGCTGGCGACCGCGCTACATTTCTTGTGCAGTGACTCGTAACTGTGTTCACCAAACTTTCAAAACTCCCCACGTTAGCATCTTTAAAGAATGTTTTCCTTGTACACTGCTGCAATGTCTTATGTAGGCATGTTGTACAGTCTAAACGAGTGTGGAATGCTTTGTTGTGCTTGTTCTGTATTTCGTTTGCTATTTATCACGGTGACTATAATTTATTTTGACCAACTCTTGCCTTGTTACAATTTTAGTGGATGGTTTCTGAACTGCTGTTTGCATTATAGATGTTGCTAGTGCGTAGACGCCAAAGATTACTTATACCTATTGACGCGCCAGATAAAGGAGGTGAAGTATTCCTCTGATCTATACCTACGGAATTCCTTTATGTGTGTTTTGTAATCGATATTGGCGGTTTTCTTATGTGATGCGGTGTAGAGCGTGGCTGAGGAAGGCGATGTTTAAAGTTGCTAGTTATTTTTCAATACATCTTTGATCGGACTGTCGTGCTTGCTGTAGGTCGGACTTCCGTTCTTGATGGTGATTGGACGCACGTGCCGGTAGTTCACAACAATGCGGCTTTCGATTATAGTATAGATTTAGATGCATTTAAAGTGTTTGTATACGTAGTCCTGAGTTTCGAGATATTATCCTTGCGGGCTTCTTGCCAACAGATTGTCCACTTCTGTGTCCAGTACTCATCCCACTCACGAGGCTCAGTTGTGTTTGCCAGCCCCTATACGGAAACATTGGCCAGATAACTGACTACTACTGAAATTTTAAGAAGCGTGGGCAGTAGGGCATAACGAACGGTCCTCAGCTTCAGTAGCCGCGGAGGGGGGGGGGGCACCGCCGACTTTTGGTCCCATTCTTTCCATGCAGGCCAAAATCAAAGGGGGGCACGGTGCCCCGGTGCCCTCCCCGTTCCGTCGCCTATGCTCAGGTTATTTCTGACCTGACAGGCTCAGGGAGGATTGCTCTTTGTTGTTTTTCTCCGATGAACCCTCTTGCTGCACACTGGCTGATCCAAAGGATGGAGGGGACGGGGGGGGGGGGGGTGCAGACGTATGAAAAAAGAAGACAATGTTCTTTCCCTAGCGCACGAAATCAATTCTTAAATGAAAATTAAACGAATAAGCTTCCGTTAAGAAGCCCCCGTTCCGTATCTTCCGTTCCATTCCACGACTGGCACGTTCCAGTGACTTGCTGCAGTAGCGTCATCTATACCTCGCCCTTACTGCCGGGAAGGCCGCGAGTTGCGACATCTATACTATGTCTAGGCCTGAAGTACCTCTTAGTGTTCTTCCGCCACGATGTATTTATTTTTGTCAATCGGTTTGGTCCTTCTGGCCGGATAGGTCGTCAGAATTATCTGAAGGTGCCTGAAATGTCTCGTTAGTGGAAAAAATGTCTCGTTAGTGGAATTCCACTATCTGGCAACTAGCCCTATGTAAACGCGGCTACTGGTGAGTAATCCACAAATCGACGGTACATACCCATCCGCGGCCATCAAAGACTCGGTCTCTGGCAGTGTGCCCACAGTGTGCACACAAAATATCTTGCAAACTTGTGCCATTGAAACTCGATACGTGGTGTATTGACTGAGCGAGCGAACGATGGGTACAGGGAACGCTTTACAAGCGGAGCAGATCGCCTTTCCGCATTAGCAATCAAAGACCAGAGTCACTCAAGCAGCACGGGTCGGCTTTCATACAGCTATTCAACTAAACTGGATACTGTGCATCGAGTGTATTGTGCTTCCGCAACAAGCCGTGAACGGCGTGTTTGGCCAGGTAATGTCACCGATTTGCTCGGAGATTGTTTGGATATACTGAACTGATTCATCCGGCTATTGAACGAATGCATTTGTGCCCTCGGTGTCTCAAACGTAAAGGTTGAAGGTCGAAGAGCTATCAACAGAAGGACGTGACAGCACCCCAGTAGGTAGTTATGATAAACCCTTCACCGTGGAGTGTGCAGGTCACCGTGGCTTTTATCGGGAACTATCTCAAGTCAAATCGCTAAACGTGACTCTGCTTAGAGAATCTCTGGTCTACCTCACACATTTTTTAAGGTAGAAAGTTAAACATTGAGTTAGACCACTCCCGAGGAATCCAGGATGGTCACGACACACAGGGACGGAGATGTGCTGGTGCTGGACAGGCAGTTCGGGCGGGCGGCTCGGTGACAGGGTGACCTGACCCGCCCATCGGTGGTCGAACACTGAGCAGATCTGGCGGCCACCGGGACGCACCATTAGCGAGCGGTGTCGGCCGTCAGCCGGCCGGCGGACCGCGCGGCGAACGAGAAACGCCCGGCGACAGACTGGGACAGACTGCCGACAGACTGCCGACAGACTGCCGACAGACTGCGGATAGACTGCGGATAGACTGCGGACGACCGTCAGCCGGCCGGCGGACCGCGCGGCGAACGAGAAACGTCCGGCGACAGACTTGGACAGACTGCCGACAGACTGCCGACAGACTGCGGATAGACTGCGGACGACCGTCAGCCGGCCGGCGGACCGCGCGGCGAACGAGAAACGCCCGGCGACAGACTGGGGATAGTGTGCGGACAGACTGCGGACACCCTCCGGACAGCTGGGGATAGCCTGCGTACAGTCTGTGGACAGACTGAGACCGCGGACAGAGTGGACAACTACGGACGGAGTGGACAGCCCGTGAGGACAGATCACGAACAGATTGCGGTCGGGGCTGTGAAGATAGAAGTTGACCCCTCCCCTCACCATCACCACTACCAAACGGAAACCAGTTGCAGCAGGTAAATCCCACCGGCAGAGGCGCCTGAAGCCACCGGCCGACTATTGCAGAGCATATCGCAATGCAGGACAGAGGCGTGCCGCATCTCATTGAGCTGAACGCTACGCCGCTCCGGCCGGAAAGCGTGAGCCTGACAGCCAAGATATGATTGAGTAAAACAGTTTCTGGAATCACAGTTTTAAGACGCTTCTCTGCTTCCTGGTATGATTGTAAAATTACCATTCAGTTGAGTTTAATCTCGAAGACATTTAAGTGCTTTGGATGAGGGCAAAAGATACCAAATTTATGTCAAGAAATTTAAGAGTCCACGGTTTGTAGAAAACAGCAACGGTCCTCAGAAGCATTCTTTTGATAACTGGAACCAGCGTCACATCAACTGAAATTAGGGTCACGAAAGCAGTTTTATAGGCTTATTTACGAGTTTAATCGCAATAACATAAGCACTTGACGCTAAAATGGCGATAAAATGCCGCCAGAGTCATGGCGTAAAACGGTGAAAAGTATGCTGCATGCATAACCGACTTATTTTATTTAACTGAACAAGATTGCAGAACACAATGGCCCAATCTTATAAACGCCGTGAAATGGATATGGCAGCACTCTAAGGCTGGATATATAGTACGCAATCTTATAAAACTCTGTGAAATCGAAAACACGGCACGCTCTTTACGGTATTGGTAGCCGCTGGTTTTGAGTATACCGTAAACTGATTTTAACCGTGAGCAGCTGTGCACATCTCAAAACACCGACAATCATCAGCTGTTTGCGGTTTCAGCGGCGTCCATTTCACGCCAGAATTTGTGGCGTACTTTGACGAGCTTCTCAGACAGTTTAATTGATTTAAGATAAATTCCATGTTTTTATGATATAAGTATGCAATATTTTACATTATGATATTTCTAAGATTAAAACATCCTCCACATATTAACTCATGATTTACTATAATGATGCTCAATTATACAGACCACAGTGTACTGTATATAAATAATACAGACAACGATCAATTTCAAAATATGTATTTCCAGGAACTAAATGCACACTAAAACACATAAAAACGAGTGTTCATCGTTATATGGCTTTATTTTTCAAATAAAAAGGGGATTTTTAAGAGGATTTTAGCATTAGTAACCGTCTTAGATTTTCGGCAGCCACTGCATTATAGAATCGGTATGGGTCTTCAGCCTATTCTCACGTCTCACGTATGACACAAATAACGGGCACTTCATGGCTTCTGATTAGATATTTAAATTAATGATGATATACCTTAGTTTGTCAAAAATTATAAATGCCTACTCACTATTCGTATTTCCTCACTTTCTGTTTCGCACAGTCACTTATCAGTGATCAATCTGTTGTTTCTCTTCCTGCATCTCGTTCTGACTTCTGAACCAAGTACCTATTTTTCTTGATACAGCTTTGATATGTAGACTGGGTACTTAAATCTTTTGAGCAATTGCTTTTTAGCTTTAGGCTAGGTAATAGGTACCTATGCTTGAATAAGAAGGAAAATAAGCTGTAACTTGACCTAATTCAGTTCATGTACGTAATCTTCGAATTTTAGTAGCTTTATCTTCATGAAGACAAGAAGGCAAATAAGCTATATCTTGAATTGATCCAGCTAATGTACGTATCCTGATGCTCAAATTGTAGGAGCTTCATTGTCAACGGCATTACTTCAATTACTGAAAGAGTAGCCGAGCTATAATTAAATGATTATCTAAATAATTCTTTAACAAATTTATTGCAATGCCTTAACAGCAAATAAATGCAAATGATAAGTTGAAGAAACACTTTATTCACTCGATTTTCTGAGCGCGAGAATGCCCTCGCTGAAATTTATTTGGTCGGCAATCCACTTTTCAGGAGAATTCTTCAAGCATGTTGGTGTTTTCCATACTTTGCTATCACGTTTTCCATAAATAATTTGTTTATTACAGATATGTGTGTCTCTAAAAGAAATAAATGCCCAATAAAAATTAAAACACATAACTTTTGCTGTTCGCAAACAGTACGCATAATTTCCAATAGCGACGGCGACAAGACATTGACCAATCACGTTGCGTGTTTCCTGCTGGCGTTGATTTGTACTGTGGGCAAAATGGCGTGAATAGAATTACCTTACTATTCTCTTTATAAGATTGCGTGAATAGGGTGCCGTAAATAGAGTGGGGTGGAATGATAGTACGCCATTTGGTAGCACAACCTTTATAAGATTGGGCCAATGTGTCATTAATTTCACGAGATGCCTTACATCGAATAAAGCTGAAGAGTTTTTTTTTTTAATAATATGCAGATGCCTGAAATAAAATGCCAACGGCACAAAAGCGAGTGTAACAAGAACTAAAATGTATCAAATCAAGCTGCATTTAACATCAGCGATATACTAAATTGACAAATATGTTTGACTTAAACAATTAATGAAACACCTAATAAGATGGCGTTACACTTACACCGTACTTAAAAACAAGAGAAGCCACAATATCGTCACAGGCTACAAGTCCCTGACAGGAAGCTGGCTAATGTTATTTCATTCAAGTGCCTATGGTTTCCTATGAAACGTGCGACGCCGGTTGTCGCTGCGCTCAGAACTTCTGCGAAGTTTCACCCAGACCTGTCAGGTTGACTCCACGTAACAGGGCCGTCTCCCATAGCCGGTGAATGGCTCGACCCGGTGCCATCCACTGAGCCGTCTGCCATAGTCGGCCTCCGTCCGTCCAAAGGT